TTAATAAAAACGAACTCATACTCAGTAATTAACAAGTCAAATCCCATAGGCATGTAATAATTTTCAATTATTACAGTGAGCACATATAACCTTTGTTGGGGCCTGCCAGGGTGTAGCTTCCCTATCTCACACCTTAGTATTTGCACATAGACTAGGCACCACTTCCATGGCCCTCACCTCACCACTGTGTAGACTGTGCTGGATCCAAATCGGCCCCGACTTTGGCCTCCATTTGTTGCAAGGCATGAGCACAATGCGGGGCTTCTACACCTTCTGGAGGTGTAAAATACATTTAGAAAAGAATTCTGCACATAGTCAATGCACAGAGAGGGATGCAGTAGAACTGCACTTGCTAGTCTTATCCCTAAATGTCATTTATCTCTTAGGATATCTACACAATTTCCACACACGTACAGGTTTTGCTACAATTTATACCCTCTATTTTCACGCAGGAACCTTTGGGAGGAAAAGGGGAGAAGGGTCTGTGGCGATGGCACCTGAAATGGCACCAGAAAATTACTGCAAAGAAATTTTAAATTCTAAAGGTTGTGCTAGACTAAAAAAAACACCGCCTCTCCCTATATGAACCAACCTGGGCCTTGCGATCATCATCTGAGACCCTTCTTCATCTGTCTCCTCCACGAGAGGCCTGGAGGGTACCAACACAATAATGGGCCTTTTCTGTGGTGGCTCCCCATTTGTGGAATGCTTTCCCCAAGGAGGCTCTCCTGGCGCCTTCATTACGTATCTTTAGGCACCAGGTGAAAATGTTTTTCTTCAACCATTTGTTCGGCTGCTTAACATTCTATGGCTTTTTAACTGTGTTTGTGGGAGTGGGGTTACTGGTTTTTGTTTTATTATGAATTTTGTATTCTCATTTTGTATTTTTCTGTTGTGAACTGCCATGGGATTTTCGGATGAAGGGTTGTATTCAAATTTAATAAATAATGATAATGATTGTTATTGTTAGTAATGAAGGAACAAACGAACCAACTCACCTTTGACTATGTAAGGTTAACCTGTAAAATGGTTTCAACTGGTTGAATAATCTAAAACAATTGTAAAGAAAATGCTTATTGATAAAGGATAGATATAAACTCTGCCTGGCTGCTTGAATCTTAGGCTATCAAAGAGTAGAATGAATGTTGAATTTATGTTGTGGAAAATTGATCCCAAGTTGGTTTTACAGTTCATCAGAAAGCACTTTTTATCTTGTGTGCAAAGAGTTAATGAAGCATACCAAATCTGCAACTTTTTAGTACTTCTGTGGTAAAATCTCAAGCCTATGTGAAACTGTACTTTTTATACTAAAAGTGAACTGAGAACTAGGAATCTGTATTTAATTCTACATTTTCTGATATAATTTTTGACTATGCACATAGAAAAATGATTCTGACTCCCACATCCTACTTGGGCTCATTGCCACAAGGATATGTAGGTAAAAACTAATCCACACATGAAGATGTCCTTTCCTATAATAATCTTTCAAATAATAGAATTGGTATTATTTTCATACCTTCACATTACATAATCTGTTTTTATTTTGAAATAAAATATGGCATTTTGTCAGAATTATGGGTGATAGACCTGGGGCTAAAACTTTTGCCTCCATATTCTAAATGACATGAGTGCATAGAGGTTAGTAAACCAACTCAACAACTGGAGCGTATTTTTCATTAATGCTAATACCCCAGTAGGAACACCATCAATTTCTGTATCCTCCAGTGTTGACCACTGGGTTCTTTTACTGAATATGGCAAATCTGGCTTGCTCCATAATAGCTCCTTAAATTCTTTTTCTAGAAAAACAATCATTTTGGATGCAGCCTGTCCATAATGGAGAATCTCAATTTATTCCAAGGCACCACAACCGTATTTATACCTTTCCCAACCATGCAATAGTTATACTGATACAATTTGATCAATTTGTACCCCCATATATCTAAAATGTTTTGTAGCTATTAGAATCTTCAGTGTTGCTGTAAAAGTATATGCTGTATGTTTATGTATGGATAAAAACATTATCTCAGATTTCTGAAAATTAACTTGCAATTTTGAGACCCTGGAGAAGCGCTCCAATTCTGAACATAATATTTTACCTGCTGTGATAGGGGCGGGGGGGCATAAAATTATATCAGCTGCACAGAGACCTAAATTTTGTTCTTTTCCATTTATAACCACTCCTGTACCAGAGAGGGCATTGCGTAATTTGATTGCTAATGTTTCTATAATTAAGACAAAAAATATAGTAAATGTGGCTGAATTAGAAAGTAAAACAATTAAAAGCACACTACGGATATGGACAATAGAAAATGGTACTTTAAATCTGGGGTCAGCAAACTTTTTCAGCAGGGGGCCGGTTCACTGTACCTCAGACCTTGTGGGGAGCGGACTATTTTTTGGGGGGAAATGAACAAATTCCTATGCCCCACAAATAACCCAGAGATGCATTTTAAATAAAAGGGCACATTCTACTCATGTAAAAACATGCTGATTCCCGGACCGTCTGTGGGCCGGATTTAGAAGGTGATTGGGCCGGATCCGGCCCCTGGGCCTTAGTTTGCCTACCCATGCTTTAAATCATTATATATCTCTGGAAGGTATTGTCTTCCATTCATTCCAAAAACTTTTTTTAGAAATGTACAAAGAAAATTCTAAGAATTTTCTCGCCAGGAATGTTTAACTCTGTTTCATTAAGTATGTGTTGAAAGAAAAGCACGTAGTGGTCTATCTCAACGGCATTTCACTTCACCAGCTTTTTTTACCAGATGCCTCTGATATCCCTTTACTTCAGGAAGTCTAAAAACTGAAAGGCATCACTAAACTGGCATCTCTCCTGCTGCTCCTGTGGAGCAAAAACAAAAAACAGGAGGGGTCTGCAATCCTTGTACATTGCTCAACCAACGTTAAATGCCATTGACCACAGATTTAATGTTCAACTAAAATAGATAGGGGGGGGAAGAGACATACATACACTTCCTTTCAAATTCCAGCTCATGAATCTCTGAAAAAGCAGTTTTTTGAATAAAAATCTGCAAAGCTCGAGTCTCCCTTCCAGGGAGTCCCTAGAGTCAAAAACTAGACAAGCCCACGCACCCAGACTACGCTTGTGGGAATCTGCATAAATCAGTGGTAGAAGGGGCACGGCATACTTTTTGCATAGAAGGCCCCCATTCAATCCCAAGCAAACCCAGATAAGAGGCTATCTGGATAGGAAAAGCTGGGAGAGATGCCTGATTGAGGTTAGCCACTGCCATTCAAGATAGATATTGGTCTAGACTAGAGCTTTATAAAGGGCTCATATATTTATGGCAGAGCACATGTTTTAGATGCACAAGGTTACCAGATTCAGTCTCCAGCACAATAGAAGGCCCTCGGGTAGTAGGCCTGGGAAAGTTCACTGATCTTGAAAACGATCGCCGATAGGCAAAAATGGGATAGATGGGATTCATCCATCTTGATTTTACAGGATGATGTTTTGGACTAAGGAAAAACAGAAGGACGGAGCAGCCAGTTTTAAACAAGCTGGTGTCTCTTTTTTCGGTGTAAACTGTAACCAAGGCTTTTGCTGAACCCTTCCTTTAGGCATCTCTGATGTTTATTACCATTTACCTGTGTCCTAGTTTGCGTATGGAAGCCAGCATCTAATTTGCATAAGGGGAGTGCACTCCCAACGCCTTTGTGGCTGTTTGCATCAGAGAAGATGGGGTTATAAAGCCCTTTGCCTGGGAAAGACTGTAGACAACAAGGAGTATGTTGGCACCCAGATGGGGTGCCTGGGGATGGATTAGCCCCTGGGCTTCCAGTTGCTAATCCTACGGAATTACTCTTAATTCTAAAACTTAATTACTGGCAGTTCCTGCCCCCACCACTCCACGCTCCCCAAAAGTTGCCACAAAATATTCTGCAGGTCAACATGGCTACTCACCCTGATCTTTAAGGAGTGTCTGGGGTAACATTACCATATGATCTATATCAAATAATTCAGGTCATAAACTAAAATAATTGAAAATCATAATGTCCTCCCCTCATGCTTAGGAAAAACAAATAAGATAGAGAAGAAAGTTACTTAACACACACCATGTGTCACATTTTCCTCGGATTGCCCTGTTATTAATATTCACTCCTTTCACTTTTTTTTTTTAGTTAGCATGCCAGCACATTTTAACATAAAACATCATGTCAATATTTTGGTTGTCTAACTTAAAAGTGTTGTCATTTCATTTTACAACCTTTTCTGCGTTCAAGACCCTTATGCTCAGCTGAGCTCCTTAGAAGATAGCGAGCCCAGAAGGGGAACAGTCATCACTTGCAAAATATCTGGTGAAGTATCTGATGCTGAAACACTTCTGGCATCAGCAGTTCTACTCGCAGTCATAAAACCCCGGGTTGCGATCTTGTCAGACCTCATTTGCTAAAGCAAGGTTGGGCTAAGTTATTCTTTCACTAAAAAGTACCCAAGGAACACCAGATGCTACAGTAAGGAGTCATTGCAATAGGTGGTACTCATCCCCTTCAAGTTTGCCGTGAAATGGTGCCCCAGCATGCTGTCAGGAATCATTGTGCCGCTATTGGTAGCGTCTTCCTAGAAACAAGTAACATTGAATTTTGACAGCTGAAGTCATTAAATATCCCCTGGTATTCTTCACAGGAGTGTATGTGTGACTCCATATATCCCAGCCAGACTTCAAATGCATAATTGCATTCTCTCTGCCTAAATTCCTTCTGCAGTCCTTGTCACTATTTTTCTGTTCTACATCCCCATAATATATTCTTTAGCCTTTGTTTCCATATTTCCCAGAACATGCTGATTTAATCCATAAAGGCATGAATCCACATCTGAACAGAAGGTGTGCTATATAGCTAGTGAAAAAACACAATTTGAGGATCATCGATGGGCAAGTTACAGGTAGGTAGCCATGTTGGTCTGCCATTGTTGAAACAAAAATAAATAAAATAAAATAAAATAATAAAAAAATCCTTCAAGTAGCACCTTAGAAACCAACTAAGTTAGTTATTAGTATGAGCTTTCGTGTGCATGCACACTTCTTCAGATACACTGAAATAGATGTCACTAGACAGAAATCACTATATATAAGGGTCTGGTGACTTCTGTTTCAGTGTATCTGAAGAAGTGTGCATGCACACGAAAGCTCATACCAATAACTAACTTAGTTGGTCTCTACGGTGCTACTGGAAGGATTTTATTTGTTTGTTTGTTTGTTTGTTTGGTTTGTTTTGTTTTGTTTCGACCAATGGGCAAGTTTTGGTTAAATGGTTGATAATCCTTACATATTTCATTAGGTTTTGATGTAAGTGACTAGAAATGGAAAAAAATTCCCCCAACAAAGTTGAAAATGGTATGATAGAGAGATGGGTTGAGTATACTGGATACCATCATCTTTTCTCACAGGGTTTACAGTGTTTTCTAAAACTTCAAGGAGCTTCAAAAACTGTTTGACCAGTGGTGACAGAGGGGCTAAAGAAATGAAATTATGGCGGGGATCAGTTCTCTGTGGGGCATTTCAACAACTGTGTCCCAGACTGAACGTGGGCATTCAGTGGCATAAGAGATCTTCCTATGCTGACTTTGCAAGGCATTCTGGAAGACAGTATCAGTTACTGCACAACAGATCCAGAACACTCCTAGGTTGGTTTCTTAATTCATGATGTATGCCACAGTGAATTACATTAAGGGAATCAATAAAGCAAAAAAGAAGATGGCTAAACTAAATGATAGTCATGGCATTAGGCTGCGTATCACAAATCTGATTATGCCTGTAGAATTTTATCAGGCACAATAGATACATTTAAAAATACCTATGCTGCTTTTAGTTAGCTAAAGCCTAGGAAATGTTTAAAGTAACAAGCCTATTTCGCCTGAAGGGCTAATATAAAGGGCCAGTTCTTCTCCAAGAGCTTGTGGCATAGATGCATTGAAGGGTACTGTGCTGTAAATTGGATGTCCCTGGCCCTTAGTCCCACCCGCTTTGACTTGTGAATGACCAGAGCACAAAAGGAAACACATTTGAGGAAGGGATTATGATGCAATGATCTCATTGTGAGTGTTGCATTATGGTTTTGGCAGCGTGGTAAAGGCTCCCTTGGCACTGCTGTTTACAGCAATTTGAACTTCTCCAGCAACTAGGTATGATTTGTGACATTTCAGCCTCATTCCTCATTGACGGAGAGCTGTGGCAAGGACTTGAAATATTTCCAGTGAGTATTGGAAAGAGGCAAACGCTTCAAGGAATACTGCAAAACCTTGAAACATCTCTAGGCTGAAGCCAAGAAATTACAAAAACTCAGAAATTGAAAAACCAAAATGGATATAAAAGCAGATTGCCCCACAGACCACAGAAAAGAAACAACAGAAACTTCTTACTCACAAGCTACCTTGGCTCAGAACCAATGAATTCTGGTCAATTGGCCATTGAAATCACATCGGAAGCCAGGTGTATTTGTCAATGCTGAGAATTGACCGACAACTGGCTCTGCAGGGCATCCACAGATAGCGTATTTTCTACTGCCTGCTGTTTGTTTTATACTAGAGATGCCAAGGCGTGAACCTGACTCTTCTGCATACAAGCACATGCTCCACCAGTGAGCTAGGGTTCAGTGGCGAGTGGTCAGTGGACTAGGGGGACTACGCTAGACCCCTAAAGCACAGGTTGCCAAACTAAGGCCCGCAGGCTGGATCAGGCCCAATTTGCCTTCTAGATCCGGCCCGCAGGCGGTCCGGGAATCACCACATGGATCGCCAGCGTGTGTGCTCTTTCCCTCTCCCTCACACGGCAGCGCTTTTCTCCTCAGGGACAGAGCAATCTTGTCCCACGCCGGGCTCTGTTGACAGCGGGAGACGGCTCACCCGCCTGCCCACCTCAGCAGGGCAGCGCTGTGAAGTTTCCTCCTGCTCCTCCTCCCTCTCCTTCAGTCCGCCCTTCCTTCCTTCTCTGCACCCCTTTTCCACGCCGCTTCCTCGTGCGCTTTCTTCGTCACCGCCTCCCTCCCTCCCTTCATTCATTCCTCCCATGGTGTTCAGGTGGGTTGTTGCGGTGGCTGCGGCCACCACTTGCGGGTTGGCAGGCAGCTCCGTCTTCTCCACGGTGCTTCTTGGGAAGCAGCAGCAGGTGGTGGGTAAAAGCTCTGGCAACACCCCGGTTCCCCTACCTCCATCTGCGGCTCCTCCGCCGGGGCTGCTGCTTCTGTCTTCACTGATCAAAGCAGCCTCCTACCCTGCCATGGCGCCTGGCTGGCTGGAGAAGCCCAATTGTGGCTATTGGGACAACAACTAGGACAGGTAAAGCAAAGCATCTTCAGGCCTCTTTGCGGGCGGGCGAAAATTGTTTTCTTTTCTTCCAAAATATAGTACAGCCCCTCACAAGGTCTGAGGGACAGTGGACCGGCCCCCTGCTGAAAAGAATTGCTGACCCCTGCCCTAAAGGGTCCAACAGTCCTCCTGCCCAGCTTTGGGAAGAAGGCAAGAGGGCTCCAGCATCCTCTCAAGAGGCCTGACATCTCCTTCCCTGTTATGTACTAAGCTTGGATCCAAGAACAATAGGCAAGTAGGATCCTAGAAAACAACAACTGATTGGCCTGCAGGAAAAGACCAATCAGGCTCCAGGAGGAAATTAATCAGCCTATTAGGCTGGTAGGATCCTAGAATGCAACAACTGATTGGCCTGCAGGAAAAGACCAATCAGGCTCCAGGAGGGAATCAGAATCAGCCAATCAGACGGGACTCATTGTGTAAATAATGTATATAAAAGCCTGAGGTTTGGGGGGGGCAATTCAATCACTGTTTTACAAGCTGCAATAAAGAGCATGAAATCACTACAGGACTCCAAGTATATTTCATTCTCCAAGTCGAGGAAGCTTCTGCCCGGCTTAGGGAGGGAGGCGCGATGCTCACGGGTGCAACATCAAGCCTCCCCCCCAAAAAAACTCCCTTCACAAGCTGGCGTCCTTGGCCCTAACTGTTCTCCTACAAAAAATTGCACTGCATGACGCTGCCAGGGCTCCTCATCTCTGGAAGGGGTTTGGATTTGATATCCCGCTTTATCACTACCCGAAGGAGTCTCAAAGCGGCTAACATTCTCCTTTCCCTTCCTCCCCCACAAGAAGCACTCTGTGAGGTGAGTGGGGCTGAGAGACTTCAAAGAAGTGTGACTGGCCCAAGGTCACCCAGCAGCTGCATGTGGAGGAGTGAAGACGTGAACCCAGTTCACCAGATTACGAGTCTACCGCTCTTAACCACTACACCACACTGGGTCTCAGGGGTGCATATGCTCAGTGGTCAGCTGGATGAAAAATATTTTCCTGGTTCCATGGTTCTGCCCATTTTTAACTGCTGGGGACTGTCTCAAGTGTGTGTGTTGGGGCGAGCATTTTCATAACTCCTTCCTCCTACGTCCGCCTACATATCCATCCTCACCATCCCAAAAAGCTCTTAAACTTTGCAATGCTTGTGCAGGATAGTCCAATAAAACAAAAAGCTTATGAGGCTCAATGTTATATTTTTCTAGGTCATATTCTGAGGATCCCTGAACTAGACACAGATTCTTGCCGTATTTGGGACTTTGCTTTTAGAACATTTCAAGCACATTCCTTATACCGAAGCTGGCTACTGCATTCCCCTATGCCCTGTGAGGGGCTGCAAGCAGGGAAGGAATAAAGAGAATAAGAACAGCTTTGCAGCTTTAATGTGAATCATAATGGACCCATTCAAGCTAGCCTTGCAGAATACAATCAGCTCTACAGCAGAGTATGTACTATTCTGTACATAAGGGTTCCTAGGTATGGCAGATCTGTTGTTGACCTTCTTTGGAGAAACTACTTAGTGCTTCTGCAATCCATCATGAAAGAAGCCCCAGCAAAATGGCTGTTGACTATATAAAACGTTTCATTGCCTGGATTTATTATTAAAAGAACAGAGTATCCAGGATGGCAAACAAACAAAATGTTGTTGTTTTTGCGACACGCATAACTAGGCCTTTGAATTACATTTTTCCCTTTCTCTCTAACCCCATTTTCTAATTATTTTAGCTTAAAGAAACTTTTTATCATGCACTTTGGTGAACTTTTTGACATTTTTCTGTTACAAACTCTTCAGTACCTTAGTGCTTTTGTATAACTTGCTAGTTAAAGAGGCTTGCTAAATACCTTTGTAGGCTGGTGATTACTATCTACTACAGGACATTGCCACCTGCTTCACTAGGGACTGACGGAAGCTGTGTAAATGTACTCAGCAAAGGAAAACAAACAAACCTTTTTCTGTGGCTGGCAAGCAAAAAAGTTGGGATATGCCCTGTTGCTTGGGTACCTGTCTGCTCCCCATGCTCAACATAATTATTTGCAAACTTAGAAAAACTCTCTGGAGCTTGTAATCATATGCACACTTACTTGTGAGTAAGTCTCCTTCAAATCACTAGTTTACACCTTAATAAACATGAATAGGATTGCATTGTTATTCTCCAATGCACTAATCCAGCCCTGACAAAGGCTGCCCCTGGAGCCTTTTGCTACTTGAGGAAATGGAGTCTGCAAAATGGTTATGATAACTAAGCAGTTAAAATGTATTTGATTAAAAGCCAATAAGACATATACAGGCATTCCTCCACTCGTGCGCAATCACTGGGGGATAATTAAATAATTTCATTCATAGCCGGAAATGGAGGGAAAGAACTGGAGAGTCCTTGTGGCTCGTGGGGGAAACCTCCCCAGAGCCCGAAGACTTCAGGGAGGGCAGAGAAGAGATTGGAGGTGCAGCGGGGCTTTGTTTAGGCTGCTCAGCCTCCCTGCCTAACAGCTGATATGCAGGGTAGCACAGCAGCAGGAGATGCTTTCCTATGTGTCCTGCAGCCCCAGACCTTCAATTCCAGTTGTGGTTATCTTTGGTACAGTATTTTTGTTCTTGATTGGAGAGACAGTAGCAAAGAGGGCATTTAAAGGGGGTACCCCACTTACGTGATCTGAAGAAGAACTGAGTGCTGGGGCCAGGGCAGGCTGCTTTAAATGCCTCGGGAATGGACCTGAGACAAGCCTACGTGCTCCGTCAGGTCCACTCCCTGAGCCAGTCCAACCTCCGGGACTGCCTGCCATTGCCCAGTTTGCAGACAGTCTTGGATCCAATCCCCGGCTGGCGAAGTGAGCTTTAAGTTTCATTGCTGGCTGGGCA